GTCCAGGTAGAAGCACATTTGTTGTGCCCCTGGAGTGGACCATCTGGGTTAGCGTTCCAAAGGCATCTAGCTAGCGTGCACCAAAACTGCTCTGCTATCCAAACCAACACGCAGTATGTGGAGATGACCACAGGATTCGCTTCCAGACTGCTCTGTTGCTCCAAACAAAAGCACGAAAGTAGACACAGTCAGAGGGAGAGAAAAAACTCTCCAAGGACAGCAAAGTCCCAAGGCAGGGTGCAATAGATGCACTCTGTCACTAGGATGGTTTGTTTGGTTTGGACGTCGTCAACTTTTCCTACAGTTTAGAAGCAACTGTAGGATGCAAAATTGCTGCCCAACAGTGACTCCCACGGTAGACTAATATATGGACCATGTCCGTAACAGTGTTTGCGTTACAGGGGGATGATGTTCACTATAACAGAGGACTTCAGCACAGACTGCCTGTGTGAAAGGGTGGATGAAATTATTCTGCCATAGGACAAGAGTGACCAGAAACACATATCCATAGTTTGAATAAATGCATGCCACCATCAGCCAAGCACGCAAAGTCAACCTCTTTGAAAAGCAATGCAGAACTCGTCTTCAGCAGCAGTTGGGAGGACAAAAGACTAATAAAGAGTGAGGAAATTCAATTGCATAGACAACTCCCATCAGCTACGCCAAGACCATAGGAATACAGGAAATGGTCTGCTGGGTCAGCAGGATGGTGCATCTCCTCCAGCTAACGGTGCTTCAGCAGCTGCAGGAAAAGACAATCTTTAGGGCGAAGCACGCAAGCCTGGCCCCTATTTGCAGTCCATTCACCTCACACTCCTCCTAGCATCCACAGTCATTGACTGGGGATGGTAGAGCACACATCCTTCCCTACCTTCTCTAACCCCTTTGAACTTGCTGATATTATATCTGCCTCGCTATTTCCTGGGGCAGCAAATTCCCTGCTGTGTAAAAAAGCACTTTCTATTACCCCTTTTAAATGGATCTCCCACTTGTTTCTCTATGTCTCCCCTCATTCCAGCATTGTGGGATTTTTTAAACCCCAGAGCAATTGTTTCTCACCACAGTGCTCCATCTATAATATTTAGTTAGAGAAAGAAACATCATGTCATGCAAGGAGCCTCAACGCAATTCCTTGGAGGTTCAGAGAAATTCAGGAGAAAAGCAAGTTTGAAAGATAGACCTGGGGTTTATGAATTGACTCCACTGGTTTGCAGTCTCTGTATCCTCTCTGCACTGTGCACAGGACGTTGCAAAGAGTTGAGAATGGTTCATTTTTTTGTACTAGCAGCTCAGTTGTATGTATTATTGTTGGCTACTCCAAAGGTACATACTAGAAGCTGAAGTTAGCTATTAATTATGTCTTTAGCTGTTTCAGCTTCCTTAAAATATTCACGTCCTTGTTCCCTCCTGTGAGAAAAATCACATGCTGAGGGAGAGCTGTGCCCAGTGTGGTGAGTCATCTGCCGAGTGGCGATCGCAGCTACTAAAAGCCTTCGCTGCCCTTTGTGGCAGAAAGTGATGCAGGTCCCTCAGGGATGGCTTTGCTGGCTGCCACCTGAGGAGCGCCTGACCTTTCTCAGAGCCAACAAACAGATAGATTCAGGATTAGTGAAGGCACAGGACTCTGTGGTGGGGAATCTGTTGTCAGTCCTTATCCAGGATGAACCCCAAGCCAGAAGAAAACTAGAAAACTTGTAAGGGATGGACAGATTCCTTCTGAAGCCCCAGGACAGGGAAAGCTGCAAAGAGCTGGGACCTACAGGCTCTCTCCAAGCAAGGGTTGTGCTACAGAAGGCCAAAAACAGACCTGGGGAACAGGAGCTTATCATTTTTTCCAGTAAGGCTCTTGCAGGACTTGGCCAGATGGTTAAAGCACCTCAGCAACTGGCAGTGCTGATAGTGGCCTTGATCATTTAAAGAGTACTGGAAGAAATGAGGCAGAGTCCCTCAGACAACTGTTTAGCCCAGCCCAATTTACTGAGCTAGGCATTAGGCTGAAACACCTCCTCTTTCAGCCTCTCCTGGAAATACTGATGAATCGGGATCAGACCACTCCATTTATGGGGCTCCCCATTGCCACCTTCTTCAGACCCAGCTGTCCAAATCCTTGCACCACATCAAATTTCTCACAACAAGCGTGATAACCACAACAGGGGTCCCACACAGTTGGGACGTCTAGGCACAATGCCAGGGCCTCTCTCCGACCCTGCACACACCAGACACAGTTTGCTTCGTGATCTGCTGACCCACAGCTGGCGGCTGGGGTTAGGGAGCAGAAGGCAGACCCAAAAAGCCTGCTGGAAGGCAGGCAGCCCAGTGACACTCTCATTCCCTTTCAAATGACAGCACCTCATAGCGTGTGCAATGCCGATTCCTGCACTGGGAGAGATGGTACTTTAGAGATGTGCAGCGACACTATATAACCTGAATCGCAAGGAATCCAGCTAAAGCGGTCTGCTCTTGGTCTTTATGTTAAGCATATGCTTCTGTACTTTCCTGCACTCAGTTATATATGGAGCATGGGGGTAGCTAATCCCAAACCTCCCTGCCACAACCTGCTCCCACCTTGAAATAGGCCCCAGTGCAATGAAGAGAAATGTTCCCGCTTCAAACTTCCGAAGACTGCCATAAACACTGGGGATAATTAAAACACGAGCATTATGAAAAATACACTGGCAAGGACTCAAGGCTGTGGAGCTGGAAAGCCAGGTAGCTTAAAGAAGTGCCAGATATTTAACTGGTCTCTTAAGATTAGCAGATGTTTTTCAACCTAACATTGCAAAAACTTACTAACTTAGATGTGTTTCCTAAATCAGAACCAGAGAAGAGAATGTATGCTGTGTATTGGGACCATACCAAGTACTTTTCCAGCACTGTAAGATCTTTTATTTAAAAAAAAAAAAAAAAGGGGATGTAGAGAGACATAGAGAGAAAAAAATAGGCTTGTTTAAAGGATTCTGGATGCTTACCTAAATTGTGTAAGAAAAGTAAAATTCCTTCCCCAAACTGAAAAGACTCGGATGCAATTAAGGTGAAGATAGCATCAGCCTATTTCCCCGTCTGGTATTAAGCTATTCAACGGGAGTACTACAGAATACAGTGGTTGCAGCTGATACAGTCTTAGCGATATTTAGGTGGTTCTTTTCTTTTTTTTTTCCTCAATTATCTCGAAACCATTCAGCAGCTCACTTTTGAAAACCAGCCTCCCTCACCTGGTACGAGACAATCTGCTATAGCACGGCAATTACAAACTCATCATTCCAAAGCCACTGGTCGGTTTGTCTTCCCACCAGCGGCTCCTCTACAGCCAGAGAGGCAGAGTGCACGTCTGAAGATCCTCTCTGCTACTCTGCTACACCTTTGAGGAGATTTACAGGGATTTGCACATGTTTTTCTCGCTCAAAGAGAGATTATGTGGCATGATTAAGAGATATTCTAGGAAAGAAACTACCGGCTTCGACAAGCTTCTTGACATTCCCTTTGTTTGATATAACACACATCAGTTACTAACAGAAATGTATTAAGCTGCTGCTTAGCCTCAGTAATGCCATGTTTAATAACAAACATTTCTTCTCTTCCCCTCTCTGCAGTGGTAGCCATTGTCCAGTAATTTCTGGATGAATTATTCTATATCATATATAAAATTTTTATACATATATATACACACAATCTGCCCTTCCATGTGTAAAGCAATGGGAAAATTGAGACCAGCTAAGGTGAGTGACAGCTTTTCCTGTATCACAGGAGATGGAAATTCAAGGACTTTCTGGGTCACTGAATCCAGACCCTTGTGATCATACTGTGAGACCCCTTACAAAACCTGACATTCCTCTATTAAAAAAAGGAAAACAATAATATGAGCGCGACATTTTATAGGTAGGGATCCACAACACTGCAGATTAAAAAACAAAATCTGCCACTTAGAAAAAGTGTTACCGCTGTCTCAGAGGCTGCTCCCAGAGACATTTAATTCTGGGTGGACCTCTCCTTCCTACATTTGCAATGCAAGGAAACCCGAGAAAAAAAACTGCTCTGCCTTTCAGGTGCGTGACAGCAGGAAGGACACAGAGGAACCAAAAAGGTGTCTGCTCAGCAGATCTCGCTATGGAACGGACAGGCTGCACACATATCCTTAAAATTCATACCAGACACAGCACCCATGCCAGTTGTATGTCCACCGCTTCACAGATGCCAGAGCAGAAGATGAACGCGCAGAAACCAGCCCATCCTCTGGGCCTGCTCCATCAGACATGCATGCACCATAAACCTCCAGCCTTCCCACCAGGCAGCTTCAAAGCTGTTGCTGCAAAAGGAAGCAGTGCTGTCTACCGTTAGATCCTTTCTCCTTTGCCGGCAGAGACCCACCTCCAGTTCTATGGGAATAAAGAAACTGAGACAGAGACAGGTGGGTGACACAATTGTCACTTCTTTCCATAACCTTGTCAGGGCTGTGATACAGTCAGCTACCACACCTAAAAAGGGCACCAGGGACAGCACGTCTATGCTCTCCTCCACCCAGCCCAGCTCCCAGAGCACACAGCTCTTGGGGATTCATTTACTGGACATTTCAGAGGGACACCTGTTGCGTTACACAGATCTATTTGGTTACAGAAACTTACCATCTGCCCCTGTGTTGTACCAACCGAAGTCTGCAAGCACCCTGACAGCAAGGAGGACTAATATTACATTTCCATCTGCTCCACAACATGAGCTGCCCATAAGCAACAACCTGAAGATGCCTCTGAGCTCCTAAATCCCACCTTGCCCTTAAAAAAATGCAAGTTATGGGAAGAACAAGAGGAGCCATGACAATCCAGTTCCCTCAAAGCAAAAGTCACATCCACAGCAACATTTAAAACTTGCTCAGTTTCCTGCATGGCTAAATGTAGAGAACATTAACAGGTCACATCGAAGGGACATCTAAGTGGTGACAATGCCAATATAAAACCATTCACTGGGTCTGCACCAATGTAACAAACTTTAAAAAGTATTAAAACAGACTGTTTATTACAGCATATGATGTGTTATATTAATTTACACAATGATATATATATAAAAACAGCCATTGATGATGTACAGTAAATTGGACATCAACAGGAATATTAAAACTACTGATACTCATGCACATGACATGCATATGTTTTTTTTTTTCTTTTCCAAAAGCAGTTTTACACAATATACTGAAGTTACTAAGCCTTGGTCAGCTGCTCCAACAGTTTACTCTGAACACCACTGCTGTCCGCAGCGGGACTCCCAGGAGATCAGAGCAGAGTGCACTCCAGAGAAGGCGACTTAACCTTAGAGACAGATTAAACAGGAGCCCTTTCCTGGTGGGGGAAGGCTGCGGGAGGACAGGGGTGAGTTTCAAGAAGAGAATCAACAAGAAAAGAAAAAAAAACAGGCCGGACTACCAGGAGGAAGAAGTTCAAGATGGGCAACAGGAGCAGCAGAAAGGGACAAGCAAAAACATGAAGACCACCCGCACTCCCTCCCCCTTATCCCCTAAAAATTTATGACCTTAAGCTGTCGATATCCTGTATAAGACCCAGAACTGGAAAAACTAGGCAAGGAAGATCCATTCCCAGAAACATTAGCCTTTTTTCAAAGCCTTCTGATACCATGCACTGGAGGCTGTTCACCACTGAAACGGCAGTGTTATGGTTTTGTTTCTTTTTTAAACGAGTATGATGGTCTTTTATTTCCACGTAAAAGGCACTAGTGTCCACCCAAGTTCTGAAGACAAGTGACATAATTTACCTTAAGTTTTAAATATTTGTATAAAAAAAAAAAAAATCTGTGGAAATATGTACACAAAAGCACCTTGCTTCCGAAAGCAGAAGCAGATACATTCCACCAAGTCACCTCACTAGACGGTTGTCATGAGCTTCAGAGAGCCCGACCGAAAGCGGAGGATTTTCTTCTTGAGGTTATGGGAGGCTTTGATTTTGACAAAGGCCTTCGCTGCATTTTCATGCAGCTCCGGCGCCGTGACCGTTTGGATGGGGAGCGTCTGGACAAACTGAGACCAAATAAGGCCCCCACTCTCATCAGAGTCGCTGGTGGTCGTGCTCTCCCCTACGAACTCCACCTCGCTCAGGCTCGACTCACTGTCTCCAAAGCAGTTTGTCGTGTAGTTGCTCTGCTCGTCCTCGCTCGTGTCCACCACGGTGGAGTGGAACAAGGACTCGCACTCCGCCGAGTACTCCGAGTCGCTGGCCACATAGGCGTACGGGCTGACGTAGGGCAGGGGGACTTGCGAGTAGACACCCACGCCTTCCCGCCGGTTCCTCCTCGCCCTCCGTAGGGCCTCCTCGTAGGAAATCTCCGCCGATGACTTCCACCGGCGGTAGTCAGCCCGCTTGTGTTTAGGCTTGGCCACCACAACCTCTCGGCCATGCCCGTGGGATCGGATGGTGGATTTGTGCAGGCCAGCCTGCCGACTCTGGAGGCCTGACTCCGGCTGCAAGCTGCTGCCTCTCTTCCCCCGTGAGGAGGGTTTTTTCAGTTTCTTATTTGTATCCAACTCATCGGGAAAGCGGCACTTCTTGCTGACCGGCTTGGTTTTCTCCCGCAAGGTCTGCGAACTGTTTTCCAGCCCGTTGGCAAGGTGGGGCCTGTGTTTCAGCACAGAGCTTTTCAAAATCTTGACGTTTCGGGTGCCTTTGTGAAGCTTCACGCTTTGCTGCTGGGCCGGTATGTACTGGGCGTTCACGAGCAACCCGTCATCCAGGCTCTGGGAGGAAGAGCCCTCGCTTTTGAAATCCAGACTGGGCCTCTCCTCGACGGCAGGCGACGAGGAGCGAGCTGCCTGCAAGC